TGTTGAAGGTATGTCAATCAAAATTGTTCATTATGAAAAAACAAAAATGCATCGTGCGAGAGTAGCCGGACAGTGGCGCACTCCGTGTACTTATTCCTCCTCGTGGGAAATAAAAAGAAAAGAAGGTACAATGTCAGGTTAGCTACTCTTTGTTCTGAAGAGGCTACTGAACCGTACCTCTTGGGAAGATCGGTTGAGTCGGTCACTAATTACATCCGCGAGTAGTGTCGTCGTCGTCGTGCCAGAGGAATGATACTGAACAGCGAAGGAGTCCAACGGTCGATGTCACGAGTTCCTTTTACAGAAATATATATGTTATAACATATACAAGGGTTACAAGTACATCGACCGTGGAAAAAATGTTCGGAGCGAACGGTGAGTGAAAGTCCGAACATGAGTATGTCGAACCGCCGCAGTTCTCTTAAAAACAATAAATGATTGTATTTTCATTACGAAGAAATATTTTAGTTTTTTGTGCAAAGTACTTTTAATAGCATATAGCAATGTTCTCGTAAGTATTGTCATCCTTTTTTGATAACGTTTAAACGGGTTAGTTTTATATCAGGATTAAAAGCAATATGGCAGTACGTTCAATTAATAGCGAGATAGCGGCAGACATTTTCATCGCGAAAACGTGAACGTCGGATATTCAGCGCCGCCATCCTGTAAGCCTAGAAGTTTGACAATGGCGTTTGAAACGTCAGTGGAATCATGCTCGATGTTCCAAACGCCATTGTCAAACTTCTAGGCTTACAGGATGGCAGCGCTGACTGTTCGATGTTCACGTTTTAGCGATGAAAACGTCGGTCGCTACCTCGCTGATATCGTAAAAGAAAAAGCTGATTGTTGTTTTGAATGCAGAAGCGTTAAAGCTTTTCGTTCCCAAAAGAAATCATTTCTGATCCAGAAAATGAAAATGCAGCATCTGAAGTGGACAGGAACATGTAAAATATTGTGAAGATTAATGAAATTAAATTATTTTTCAGTAAGTTAAAATTCTACCTTCATTATTCAGATCACCAGTAGTTTATGGGAAAAGGTTATCCTAATTTTTATATCCACAGCAAAATCCTTCAAAATCAAATCAAAATGGCCAATCATTCATTTAGTACTAGAAAATCGATGATATTTACAGCGTGACAATACAGTATGTTAGCAATTATCAAATTAACGGTGTCACATTACTCGTTTGGATGACTCTGTTTGACTATATGAACATCCGAAAGTAGATTGGTTACGAGAGGCTCAGAAATCAATTTACGGATTTCGATGGGTTTTCGCGTGGTTATTAATTAATTTAATACGAGGCACCAAAAAGTATCCGCTGTAAAGTCCTAGCTTTCACTTTTGCGTTTTATTCGAGAAAAATCACGATTTTAGAACGATGACTGATCGCTTTTGGACTCAAGAAGTCGGTAGATATTGAAATAACAATTAACTTTTATGGGTATATACTTCATTACAAAAATTCGCATTTTTTTTCAACCGAAATCTGACGTTAATAGTCGTCAGGTTGTAGTTGTAGTTGTACGAGATATAGCGCACGTCCACAGATTCTATACTCGTCTGTTTGCGCTCACCGAAAGTTTTTGTTTTCTTTTTTTTAATTTTGTTATTCTTTATTTCTCACTATAAACTACGATGATTTTCGACCTATATCATTTTCAGCCGAATAATTTAACTGGAAAGAAGGAATATAATTTTGTAGACTGTTGCCCTGTAATTCATAAAATGCCAGATATGAGAGGTACGACTGTACTGTCGTGTATGCTAGTTAGACTATAATCGTAATTGGACTGTAAAAGTGTCACCACTCTGTCAACTGGAGTTTCACTGCGAAATTAAGAGATTTCGCAGCGAAACTCCAGAACAATCAGACGCCTTTCTAAGAAAATCGAGAGCTCCACTATAAAAATTCATACACTTTGCTTTTTATAACTCTTTCTCCTTGTGAGCACTAAGAAGGCCTCTTTTTAGCAAGCCCATTATGGGTTCAGCCAGGCTCACAACGGAGCAGCCGGGTGGTGAGGGATGGGGCCTAAACATTTTCTGACGGACCAACCCCCAAAAAATTCCTAGGGATTTATTTACCCGTTCAGATTCGAAACCGAGTCGTCCAGAGTTGTACCAGACCTTGACCGCTCGCCCATCCGGCCGTCTTATATTTTGTACTGAACAAATTAATGTAAGAAATTGCTTTGATTTATTAGGATGCTACAAAACATAAACATTTCAACTAATATAAAGTTTTCGCGAATTATGTTACTGTAGCGCGGAAATTCAGACGAAAAATAAGCGAGCACAAATACTGTATTTTAAACAAGTGATGATAACTATATATATATACATATGATACAAGTGATGATAACTATATATATACATATACATATACATATACATATACAAGTGATGATAACTATATATATATATGTTTGGTAAACTGGACTTCAATTTTTAAAATTCATTGCAATTCCACAATAAAATACGATCATACTTAATGCCTAAATAGTATATATATATATATATATGTTTGGTAAACTGGACTTCAATTTTTAAAATTCATTGCAATTCCACAATAAAATACGATCATACTTAATGCCTAAATAGTAAATCATAGATATTATACACCTCGTCCATTTTATTCCAGCGGACTCTGCCGTATTGTTGATGTAGCGATCAACAGAACGGCAGGAGTATTCTATAAACATTTTTTTCTATATTAATTGATACCGTCGAGGAAATTTAATATTAATTGTAACTAAAAACATTTTAAATATATGGACAACATAATAATTTCAAACAAACCAAAAGCAGCGTAAAAAATGTCCACGTACCGTATTATAAAATATTCTCTCTTAGTATTAATACACTAATTATTTTTTTTGAATACATAGTATTAAAACGAATGGAAACTTTTAAATTTGATTTATTATATATATATATATATTATATATATATTTTTTTTCCCCTTACGGTACACAATGAAATTAATTATATTAGGGAAGCGTGACGTCTTATCGTTATATGTGGATATGACGAAACCAAAACGAAATAGTAACACTAAGAGAATATAAAGTAAAATCGTACAATAACGTTAGATAAGTGGTTATCTTACATTTGGTAAGTATAAATTACGATATGGAGTTAATTTCGTTTTCAGTTTTGTTATTGAAAATTAAAATTTTCATGTGTAATGCCTAATGTTGTATATATTATATTATGTTAATACTCGTGTTATACCCTCGTGGTTAGGCCTAGGTATGGTTGTTTTTATCATTTTATTGTGTAAGTTAAAACGGACATCTTTTATATTGCGAAACTATTAATATTCGTTGCTTTGTTTAGTCGTAACATTTAAGTTCGAAATTAATTTATATTTTTTTCTTGATTTTACGTAGTTAATATGATTAGAACGGTAAAATTGCACTTAGGTGTTTTTCTTACAAACGTTAACGATTATAATTAGAATCAATCGTACTCAATAAAATTTGATGATTACTTTATTAAATAAATAATATAAATTCTGCATTTTGTAACAAACTGTTAAATTCCTATCAATTGTAGTGTGAAAAAATTAAGTATTAAATTATGTGACAACATATTGAGGAAGATATCTACTTTATAACATAAATTTACATAGCTTATTAACATTATTTTAAAAAGTGTTTTTAAAACAATAAATAATTAGGTAATTGGTTAAAGTTTAATTTCCATACATTTTTTTTCCTAATTTTGCTTTCTTAAGACACCTCGCTAGTAGACGTGTTCTAAACAGATAGAAATTTTTGGGGGTGACGCTTATAAGAGCTATAAACATAAACTCAAACTTTTACCAATTAATTAATTTAAAACTAAAAATTATAAAACAAAATTTATATTATAAATATTAAATGTATTCAAACTATAAACAGTAACGTTGAGATTGGTATATAAACTACAAATAATCAATGATGTATAAAGTTCTAATCAGTAAAATTGCATTTAGGTGGCCCCTGTGGCGCCGAGTTTGTTTTTTAACACGTATTGGTCTACCGCCTGTTTTATGTGCTTCGTGTGTAGACGTCGAGTACTCCGGAAGGATCGAGTGGGCTACTCGAAGCTGTCTTAGTCGGGTAGGCTAAATAATTAAATGCCGTAGTCTTGGAAGTACCGCCGTTGGGACTACCTAGATGCACTTTTACTGCTGTGATAAATAAACTAGTATATTTATATCATAATTTGAAAATAAATTTTGTTTATATATTATCTGAGTGTGCTAATTTTTCCTTCCTTATGGGAAAGAAAAATTAGCATGGCCTTTCTAATAATGTAATTATTATAACTAATATTTTTGGGATTAAACATCCCATCATCAGATTGGAACTAGAATGCTGAATAGGTGTTGGAAAGCTTTTAAGTGTTTGATAGATTTGAATAACTTATTTAAATGAGTGGATACATAGCCGAAAATGAAACAAAAATAAAAGAAATTAAGGAATAACAACGTGCATTTTCTCCAACTTCCGACATGCTCAAACAGATTTATTCATAAAAATTACATAATACATCATACAAGTAGATGATCATTATGTAGTGACTGGAGTTTTGAAGACACGTGATTCCCAATGGAACTCGAAATATATTTGAAATTTCGTTCCAAAGACAACTGACATTCTAACAGATTGTTGCAAATAGAACATAGCCTGATGATGGACCCAGTGGGATCTGAAAACAGCATAAGCAATTGAACATATTTCATGCTGGTTATAGGTTTTTTAGAAAGATTATTAAAAAATAAAAGATATAATAGGAACAAACATAAAGTAGAATAAAAGAAAAAATTAAAGTAATGATATATTACTATTCTGTNAGATTTATAGTGGAACTGAAGTGATGGCATCTAAGTGCAAAAGGTTAAAAATCTATCCGAAGTATTCATGTATTTTTTACAATGCTTATTAGTTTCTACAAGTAATCTTTAAAAGAATGCTAAATTTTATTTTAATTCTATTTAAAATAACTATAAATACCAAATGCTCCATCTTATAGTCAGCCTGTGCAATAGAAGTACTACTGAAAGTATTCGTTTCTATGATATCTGCACCAGCTTCAAGATATTTCTGGAAAATTTAACATTAAAAATAATAATAATAATATTAAAATTATTCATCTAATAGTGTAAAATAATTTAAAGTAATTACCTTATGTATATTATAAATAATATCAGGCCGAGTTAATGTCAAAAGATCATTATTTCCTTTTAAAGGTGATGGATGATCCATAAATTCGCTACCTCTATAATGATGTTCTTGTAAATGATACTGTTGTATCATGGTTCCCATGGCACCATCTAAGATCATGATTTTCTTTTGTAATGATTTGTAAATTTCTTCTGTAATTTCTGAAAATAAAACATATTAATGTAATTAATTGTAAAGATATTTTGTTTATTGATTATATAAATATTAAATATTACATAATAAAATAATTTATTCATATAAACATTTTTAGTGCTTTTTTTAATGCAATTGTATTAATTCATCTCTTTGCATGCTGTCTCAATTTATCAACTTGTTATAAATGTAAAAAATAGCAAGATGAAAATTACTTTTGATTCTATAAACAAATCATAAATAAAATTATAGTTAAATGTAATCAAAACAACTTAATTATCTTTCACACATTAAGAAATCTTATTTCAGATTAATTGTATTTATTTCTGTCTTCTGACAAAAACTTGTATAGAATATTCTTGGCTTCAAAAAATATTCATATGATACCAGGATATAGGCATAACAGACACAGAACCAACTTCCGGTGTGTAAAAAACAAACATTGCACAAACGTTTTCTAACTCCTTCTAAGTTCTTCTTCTTCTACCCTCCCAAGCACTTGACACTGAATTAGAACAAATAGAAGAGTTAGCCATTGCTCATGGTTACCAAACAGTTGTACGTTGCTTAATGGATCAATTTCACCAGATGCCTCTAGAATCCATGCCTAAGGTAGACCTCTATAACAAACCATGGTGGAAAAGTGGAATGGCTGTGTAACCTACCACCCCTTCCTATGTTCATTATTTGCAAAAATCACCAGAAATCATGAAATTCATATTGCTTTTCAGAGGTGCCCGACTGTTTTTACCACCCTTTGAAATGGAAAGGACCCTCACAACCCTAGCAAACTTCCTGGCATATACAGTGTTTCTATCAGAGACACCAGATGTGATAGGGACCTTCTGTACATCAGGTCCACTAAATGTTCTATGAGAAGAAGAATACAAGAGCATATCCCAGATGTGCAACATGCCAGAACATCCACAGCCCTTTCTATGTACATAGTAGACCCGGAAATAATTGCAGACTTCACACAGGCCAAACTCCTCCTCACAACATTGTACACAGAGCATCTATTTTGCTCCTTTGTAAAAGAAATTTGAGATGCATTTGTATGAATAAAAGATTCTCTCAAATTCCAAGACAGCTTTGTGTTGATAATACAGAAAATAATTGATCCCTTATCTGCATATTGTAAGAATAATGTTAAACAATTACTCTTGATAACTGAATGATTGTTTACTGAACTGATTCATTCATTTTGATCTACACAGTTCACAAGAATAAAGACAATAAAGTTACACCATGAAAATTCTATTCAATATATTGGTCAGCAAGGATATTGTGATAGTACATGTATTTACATAATTTCTCCTTCAAATCAAATTCTGACCTTGACAGCTAAGATCTCACCTCCTCATCTTTCACTCAAACCATGATATTTATTACACAAAATTGTTTCAAGGGTCTGGCATAGTAACAATTTTCAGCCTTTTTGAACTTCTTCTGACGCAAATATGTCATCATCTTTTAGAAAGATTAGGAAGATAAACTTTTCCAAAAGCACTTTCTTCTCCTATGTATGAATCAACAGTCTCGATTTCTAAATTTAAGTTTGATTTCTTTATGTAATCTTGTAAAAGGAGTCATGTTAGATATTCTGTAATTTGAATAATGATTTCAGCATCAAGTTTACCAAATTTAGCATTTAAATATCATAATTCCTTTTTGTTTTAATAAGTAAACATGCAAAAAATTTTTACAAAATATATTTAAGGAAAATAAATAGAGAGAAAGAGCATAATGAAAATTAATTAACTAAATAATGAATGTAAAACTTATATACTTTCCACACAATTATTCTGCCGAACAATTGTGTGTTGTTATTTCCAACATTCCTTTGATCCACCAAATGGAATGGATACATGAATTCGGATTCCAGAAATGAGTTTGCTAATGTGCAGTTAACATTACAGAAAAACTCAGATTACAGTAACGTGTTTTAATTTAATTTTATTGTACTTTATTTTATGTTGTTTGTTTCTGCTTTCTTTTATTTTTCATTTTTGTTTCATTTTCAGTTACATGTTTAAACATTTGAATAAGTTATTCAAGTTTTTGAAAAACAAAAGTACCTAATATTAGTTCTTTTTGTGTTTCTATTAGAAATTGTTGCAATTAACAACAGCACAGACTGGCATTAATTTTTTTTAATAATATCACAGTTAAAATCCTTGATTATCTGTAAGTTGGAATAAGAGTACACAAATGAGTATGCATGATGGTATTGTTGCTTCACATTGACATCATGTCAATTTGAGATTGTTTGGCATATCAGTACTTGTGTATTGTGATTCTAAATACACGTATTATACAGTGGTACCTCGGTATACATCTGCTTTAGAATACGTCCTGTTTGGACGAAAGAAATTTTGTTCGGTATACGACTTAATGCAATTATATGCGCCATCTATGAACAAGTAGCACTAGCAGTGTATTAGCCAAGACTACACGTTCACGGTGCTACGGTTTATAACTTTGTTAAATTTCTTCTGATTTTAATTTGTAAGTAAAATTTTATTAATTTTAGTAATCATGAATTGCAAAAAGGCAAATGAAAAGCAACAGAAAACTAAAAAAATGACTAGAATCACAATGGAACTGAAAAAAGAGATTGTTGGGAAATATGAAGGTGGCACGCGTGTTTGAGATTTAACTGTTGCATACCGTATTCCGAGAACGACGCTATCAACAGTCGTGAAAAATAAAGACATTATTAAATTTGCTAACATTGTGAAAGGGTTAAATGAATTTCTAAACAGAGACCGAAGACATTAATTGATTAAATCATGTTGAGAAATTGCTTTTGCTTTGGATAACTGGAAAACAGTGTGCTGCCGACAGCTTATCAGAAGCAATTATTTGTGAGAAAGCTAAAAAGATACATGCTGATCTCTTGAAAAATCAAGCAGGAACTAGCCAGGAAAGCAAAGTGTTTAAAGCTAGCCATTTTTTTACATGTGAACAAATTAATCATTTTTACATTACTTCTTGTAGGAAAGGTTGGTTTGGTATACGTCATGTTCGGTATAAGTCCAAACACCAGGAACGGATTAAGGTCGTATACCGAGGTTCCACTGTATATATTTAGGATTGCCAACCATTATTTAATTGAGGACAGTCAGTTAATATAGTATTTTTTCCTTGCCCTTTATTGACTTTAGAAATAGATTTTGTCCTTTATTTTGGAATCTAAAATATAATCAACGCAAGATTAATTTAAAAATGATAAAATATAAATTTTCCACATTGTTTGAAACAGTATGACTTGATTGTTTGATAATTATTTAGATTTTGCTGAAAATGTAAAAACTGACATGAAAATAATCACAAATTTAAAAACATATGAATGTTACACAAGTGTTTGGAAATGTATTGCAAAAATAAAACTGCAGATTCTATGATGCAAATTAAGTAATAAAAAGTTTTGTGACTCCCAGAGCAAATGCACTGTTATGGAGACACTGGAGATTGAAATGACTGTGCATATTTCTATGTTCACAGTATGAAAAAAAAAATTGCAAGAATCTTTGTTTTATTTTTTTACAGAAAATACAAACCAAAATAGTTTTTCTAGTAAAGAACACAAACCAAAAACTACAAAAGGTGTTAAAAGTGGCACCCTCCTGCAATGCATGCCTTGCTTCTCTTAATAATTGACTGATGGACCCTTAAAAAACTACTTAAGCATTTTGATGTAACTTTTGTGCTTGTTTTGGCAATTAACTTATCTTGGGTAGCTATCTCTGTAGTGTATAGTTTCCATCAAATAATGAGCAATTATTTATTGTGATATTGTCACAATGCCATTTAACCATATTTTTAATTAATTTAAAATATATGCTCTCCACCTCAAATTAGTACTATAGTGTCTTGCCGCTGTACAGTACATCACACTTTTCTGTTAGCAATGGAATCATGCCGATCATCTATTTAATTCCTTTCAGGGAAAAATTTTTGTATTGAAATAACATGACTTCTGGTTTGCATCAGAAGTTCATATATAGTTAATCAGGGCCTCCTGTCCCTAAGCTTTCCATATCTGATTTTGAATTTTATTTATCTAACACCATTCTGAAGATTAAGGAAAGACAGATGGATGACAGTGGGAATTTATAGGTCTACAATTTTTTCAGATTGCAGCCTAATTAACAGAGGGAAAAAAATCTCCAATATTTCTGAATTGGGTGCATTTATATCCCAGTTGTAATGAAGCATGTTTTCTACATAATTTGCAATGTAGAACTGACAGTTATTTTTCCAATAGCCTTTCCAAACACCTTGTATTTTTCAATATATTTAGTTTTCAGAAAATATATAATAAAATGTAATAAACAATATAAGAAAATTTTAAAACTAACACCTAGACACCAATAACCAACAAAAAGGAATATAATTACTGTAGAGCATCAATTATCCTAAACAATAAAGAACTGGGGTTGTTCAGATAACTGATCATTTATGAAAAAATATATTAAACACAAAACTGTACTGTATATATTTTGTATCACATGTCTTACAAATATACATCTTGCATAAAGTAGTACATTAAAGTAGGCCTAGAATTTAGGTTGGGAGGGAGGGGGAGAGTGCTGCAGCACCACAGCACTAGCGAAATTTGAATTTGCTGACTGGAATAATTTTGGTTAACTGATGTTTCGGTTGATTAGTATTCGGATAATTGATGCTCTACTGTATTTTAAATAACCATTTTTGTTTAAAATATATTCATATTTGATGGTTATTAGTGTCCAGGTTTACTCATTACTGCACTGCAATATCAGTATTGTGGTAGTGACTGTAAGAAAATGTTTTTTTTTTTTTTTTTTTTAAATTTATCATATTTGTAAAAATATAAATTTACACTGATTTTTCAAGTAGTTAAATGTTTTATTATGTATAGAAGAATTTCTGTAACTGAAGCTGGTCTACCAGTAAAATGCTGAATTGTTTTTACACACAATAAAACATTTGACTACTTTAATAGTGTGAATTTCTATTTTTATCAAAAAGTTTAGTACAGTAGAACCTCGATTATCCGGACTAATTGGGGATGAAGGTAGTCCGGATAAGGAAAAATCCGGATAATAGAAACAAATACTTTAATTTGTCTTTTAATGATAATACAACACGTTTTCTTTTCGATGACATANTTTTAGTAGATTGCTATCATTGTTTAAAATGTCATGAAATTTTTCACAAGAATTTGTTAAATTACATAGTATATTTCACTAATAATATGGCTTTCAAAGTTTCAACACTTAATTTTGATTTATCAGATGTCCACACTTTATTTACGGTAGAAAAAAACATGTTCATTTAACATGCAACAAACAAAATGTTTGCTCATTTGCTCGTTACAAAACATGAAAAATATCGCACTTAAATCCTTGTACGAGGTCTGAAAGTACAAAGATTTAAATGAGATATTTTTTGTTTTTTAATCTCCAAGAAAGTTAAGAAGGAAATGTGTATGCCCTTTATTGCAGCATTTTTTGAATCTGGGTTTGGAACTTTCATTTCTCCTGAGAACATACAATTTCTTAAAAGATGCCGATTGCATATAGGTAATTGGTGAATAAAGAACACGTGATTTGGTAGTTTTGTTTGAACACGTGGGAGATGCCACTGTTTACTGTATTATTATCAGAATAACAAATAATTTGTCTATAGCAAAAATTTAAAAAAAAAACAAAATGTTAATAGAAGTAAGACAAAAAATTGCAAGATTACAATACACCTCTTTGATTTTGTAATGAATGTAATCAATGATATATTTATTATAAAATTCAAACTTTGAATATGATTTTAATAACTTCATGGATTTTCTGAAAATACTGCAGAAACTCTGAAAACACTCACATGATTCTTTCAATATTTCATAATTATAGTTACAATTCAATCACCTGAAAAGAGAGTCAAATGCATATACAATTGCATACAAATTCCAAATACTTTTTAGTAGTCATTATATATATTCAAACTATACAATTTAAAACATCAATGCCTCATATATTCACATATGCTATTGAAGAAATCCTACTATTTACAAATAACTAAGGAATGGCAAAGATGAAGTAACTAGCAAAAGAGTGTCCGGAATATACTCCATCTCTATGGTAGATGGAAGATTTAACTGACAATTGATGTATATTAATTCTACAAATAGATCTTTAACAAGCAGAATGACAGAGTATAAATGCAATATTGGTAGCAATAATCTGATAACTACTTTGGCACAGTATGCAATGGAACCTGGATATCTGCAAATCTTAACAAGACCAAATTATTATAGCACGTACATAATGAACACAAACTACAAGCATTAGAAACATTAAGAAAAATGAAGGTTGCAATAAAAATAGGATGTGTAAATCAGAAAGACTACAAATCTCTATCTGTCACAGGGCAATCTTTATACAACAATCCACATAAGAATATTTTGTTGCAATACAGGCAAGTCAATATATATCTTTATTTCTTTTTATAATCATTTAATGTTAGGCCTATACTTTATCATAATTACAGTATATATATTTATACATGATACTATGTTTTTACATTACATTTTTGCACAAGAAATGCAGGACATTCTACATCTTAAAAAATCAAATAGCATCACTTATCAAGTAACAATCTAATTTCAAACATCAAATTGAAGCTAGATTGGAAACCCGACGCAGGCTTACAAATATGCCAAAAACATTTGTATTCTTAATAACTGTGTTTGCCAAAAATGCAAGAACATTCTCGAGATTTTCATGCTTTTGCTTTAGTTTTTTAACAACGTACTCCGTAATCGAATTCAATATATACATGCGACATTACACATAGGGTCCTGTAAAATTTACAATAACCTTTTAGCTAACCACAAGGCCTTTAAAGTGCAAAAAGATGGGTTCTGGGAAACGTGCCGAACCTGCCTTCTGCCAGCCAGCCTCAGAATTATGTAAGGTTTTTATAAACTCTCACAAACACAACACATCGTAACGATTAACGAAAGAAAATTATTGGGATGCAATACTTTTTGTCAACACAGAAAATGTTGACAAAATCATTTTACAAGGTCAATGGAAATATGGAACATATTTACTTTCTCGAGTGCCCGCCCAGGTTATCTGTATACACACCCACCTATATCTGTGTTACGTAAGGTAACATAATTTACAGACATCCCCTAAATACCGAGTCAGAAAATATTTATAATATACCTGATCTTGACTTATATAAATCCTCCATATTTTCTACACAGAATTATAAGCAAATTCAGAATATTGCAATTTATGTTATCCTGTAAAAAAATATTAAAATATATTAGTTTGTTCACTTATATTTATATAAAAATATACAAAATTACTGAAAAATAAGACAATTATGTAACAAAATGACTTTATAAAATAAATATTCACGTGGTTAAAACCTGAGAAACTGATCAATATAATTGATTACAGAAGATATGACACTACCTCTTGTTATGAAACTCAATAAAACGTTTCAAAGTGTAATAAAACGTCCAAGCAGCATAAAAATAATTAACCAAATGTTCATTCATCTTTGATATTTTAAAATAAATTATTTCCTTATCTCAATTGGAAACGTTTCAAGTAGATAAAAAGCGCCATGTGTTTATCACGTGATATAAACAAATTTTAAAAAATATATTACGAAAAGCCGATTTTATCAGTTTAAATAATATTTTTCGAAATATTTTATAATCTATGCTAATAATATATTATAATTTTTTTAATATTTTCGCAAAAAAATTTGAAATATAAACATCACGTGATCGACACTCGACGGACCACGTGTTGCCATATTGCTGCACGGTTCGACCATTTTGAATTCATTGCTGTTGAGTTCGCAACGTTATGTCAGTTTACCGTTGTTGTCAGGTTGATTATCGTGTAAATTTATAGTAAATAATATGTCTCCGGCTCCTAAGAAGCGTGGACATGGCAGGAAGAGTAATGACGTAAGAGGTCGAGATGAGGAAGAAAGTTGTAAATTTCAAGGAAAGGCGCATTCGAAAAATGTTGGAAGAGGCAAATGCCACGAAGATATTTCTCTGAAAAATGATCGAGATGAGAGTGAAGCTCAAACTTCAGAAATATCAGATGTATATATTTAGTTTTTTCTGTTGCCAAAATAGCACAATGATTTCAAATGTATTAAACTGCATCACTCCTAATTTCCTAGTTAAGCTGTTTATTTAAGCTGCCAGAGGGTACTTCAAGCAATTTCTGCTTTTGGAGGAAACACTTCTATGCCTCGGTGCCTCAATGTTGTATATACATTGTTTTGTTCGAATAAAAAGGTCAGAAACGATGTAGAATTGTCACCGAGACTATAAAATATCAGAGACGGCTGATCGAGAAAATTCAATATTGCATTGAAATGTGCAATGTCAAATTTAATTCGAGAAAATTATTGAATTAAATTTGACTTGTGTGGTAAACAACAATAATAGAATGTGTGCATTTGCCGTTACTAATAAATCCGAAGATGTTATGTCAGAGTAGAAGAGTGCATTTCTAATTTTTTCAATAAGCAGTTTAAAATAGATTATCATATGTCACAATTTTCACTTGAGGTACATTATGTAATATGCATATAAATTATGGTGATGGCTGTCTTAACTTCTGTCTTCGGACTGGTGAACCTCACAGCACTGCGGCGGCTAATTTAAAGCAGAAGTAGCTTAACTGTCTTTTAACAAAGCGGCTTTACTAGGAAATGCACCCATTATATTTTGTGCTAACTATCAGTTTGTGCTAGGGTTGTCAACTGTTCAGAATTTTGGTTACTTTTGAAAAATCGTTTGGAAATATTATGAAAAAATACGAGGAGGAGTTTTTTAATTACCCCTTTTTCCTCATTAAAAGTTTCATTAATTGTATTCTGAATTATTTTCATTTCCATTAGTTTACTTTTTTCCTGTTTTCTATTTTTGTCTCCACCCTGTGAACACTAAGAGGGCCTGATTTAATAATAATCATTGCTGTCAAGTCCACAATGTCATCAGAAGCAGGATGATAAGGGATGGATGGTCTTGGAGTATCCGGAAATGAAAAATTTCTGGAGGTTTTCAACCCATCTGGATTCATTACTGGATCCCAAGAGCAGTAGGCTGACACCATAATTGCTTGAGCTATCCAGTTGTCTGATGATGATGATTGTCAAGAGAAGAAGAAAATTTTCCTAAGATTGTAGGCTTTCTTTTGCTCATCACTGTGTTTAAGTTGTATTTTTTCTCACAATATGTTCAGAATTTAATATTTTGAAAGTTGATAACCTGAGCTTGTGCAGTCTTTAATAATGTGACCAAAGCACGAGATGGCTCTTGACATATCTAAGATGAATTATCTATAAAAAATGTCCTGGGATCAACTCTAGATTTGAATCAACTTGCCATTCCAATGGACTTAGAATGATAGGTTGCAAACCATCTTGCAGCGTTTTCTTACGTTTATACTATTACTTGAACACTAATACAGATATACCTTGCTTCATGCAACTTCATTTAATATTGTTTAACTCATACAATATGTACTAGAAGATTCAATTAATATGCAATGATTCAATATAATGCAGTCACTACAACTATAAAAATTAAATATGCCAATACTTTACAGTATTCAGTAATAATATAATTTTGCTTTAAATTCAGTTTTAATTAAATTTGTTACAAAAAGTATTTTTATTATTATTAAATTGATGATAAAGTTTTTATTGTTCTTTCAGGAATTAAATACATTTACAAAGAAATACAGCAAAAGAGCTTTAAATACTAATTGGGATAAATATGAAGAAAAAACAGAGACGTCCGAAGAATTGGCCGGAATGGACTTTCAAACTGCATTGAACTGTTCAAGTAAATCTGTTTTTAATACTCATTTTTCTTTTCTTTTAAATGTAATTGTGGAGAAAAATTTGTACAAATTTTTAAGATGTTTCTTCATAGATATTGAGGACTTTATTACAGAATTTGTCTGTGTTGTGTTTGTATCTCTAAGTTCCTGCATAAAATGAATTATATAGTGAAACAAAAACAAATGCTTTTTTAAGATTATTGTGAATGGATTAAATCCTGTGCTGAAATAACAAACACATTTTGCAAAATTTCTCTGAATTACTGCACTATTGCATAATTGCTACTATAACCTTAATTGTCTTGAATGTAGGGGATTTAAGACATTCTAGAATTCTGCATTTCTTCTTTATGAAATCTGTTGACTTATTTTAGAATTGTAACTACCTCTTATTTGTAATTTCTCTTTCAAATACATGTTATACTTGCACAACACTTTTGAAATATAATTGCACTATTTCTGTTGTGTGCTCCAATCTGTTTTGATAGAAACCAAATATACATGCAAAAATGTTACATGCATTTCATAAATATTTTCATGAATGAGACTTCATGTAATCACGCTTTAGTGAACACACGCTATATATTATACAGTGTACACAAACCGTAGTGGTTTTCAGGACTTTCTTATGAGAGGGCTAGAATTAGGATTATTATTTACTATATTTTGCCATGTATAATGCACACCCACATTTTTGGCCCAAACTTTCAGGAAAATCACCTTTTGTTCATAATCATAAATAAAAAAATTAAAAACATTTATACAGGTACAGAATTAGTACTACTAGTGTATAATACAAATCCTTATTTTTCTCTCACAAATATGGGCAAATAAGTGTGCATTATACACAGAAAAATATAGTAATTAACTAGAATCTTGTTGTTTGAGTGGGGCATTATCTTCTTGCCCTTCTGTTTAAGAATATTCAGAAAAGTAAATATATAAAAATTATAAACTGATCTAAAATACATCTGAATTTTGAATAAATTTATTGTTAATTTATAGATATTAAATTTCAATTGGCATCAAAAGGTTCTGTACGGTTTGTTACTATTTATTACTTATATTTGTTATAATGTATTCAATGATTATTTTTTGATAAAAATAACACAATGAAATTATATTCTTATAGTTACATTCTCTTATTTCAGGTAGTGCTGTTTCACAGCTAAAGTTAGAAGAAGAAAAAACTTGGGATGAAGAATTTTTAAAAATTGATTCAAATGATTTCACTTCAATTAACTGTGATAATTTGATTCAAGCTTTAGAATGCATTCCTTTTCATGATAGAATGGCTATTTCTGAAAATTTTTTTATGGTAAGTAGTTATAGGATCCAGATCTACTAGCTCTATTTTGTCATAAGGCAATCTTGTAGAATTATCTTGCAGATTGTCTTACGAATAACAGTTTTAAATACAGTTGTTACATGATCATATATGGATGAGAGAAATCTTTTAACTAAAAAGAAAATTCAGAAATGTGCATAAAGTTAAAAAATTCAAACTATGATACCGAATAGGATCGTAAGCTTCAAAATTTGAACTTCAAGGGAGTCACTAATGTTTAAATATTGTAATTTTTTAATGATGTTTTTATTATAATGTGTATTATTAAACTCAGATGAATTTTTCTTAACACAGTTTACTAGTTTGATTTCAGTGGCAATCTGATGCCGACCACTGGCCTAGCCCATGATAGCATAGAAATAAAACATTGTTAATGCCTAAGGATGGAAACTATTTAATAAAAAAAATTACTACAGAAATAATCTTTTATGTAATATTTTAATTTAAACTCTATTCTATGCAGGCTTATTTATATTTATTGTTACTGTCTTGATGTTTAGTTATGATTAGATTCTTTACCAAAGTTAATTTTTATGAGTTGTTATTTCTCTGTTGTAACATATATTTTCATGATAAGTAAAGTAAATTCCCATTGTTGTGTTTTTTATATCCACATCATCTTCAACATTGTTAGTCTGACTTTCTTTGAGATTGCTGCTTTATTTCATGAAATGAACTTGGAGTGAAATACAGGTATCCATTGATTAATTTAATATGGTTAATTAATTCCTCGATCCTGCTGTGTATATCAAAATTTGCTTAATCAGATTATGGTATCTATGTTAAGTAAAGACAGCAGGTAAAGCCATGTAAATTAAAACTTCTGCTGCATATGTAAAGGGACTGCCACAATTAATTTCGTGCTTTATGCCTACATCACCCCTAAGGGACTATATTTTTGACTTATTCAATCACTACATACCATATATTCTGTATATATAAGACCCTGTAACTGTTAAATCTCACCTACAGCTATCATGTAGAAAAATATGCTTAATTTTCACTGATTTTTGTAACTTAGAAATAGTGAAATTATATTTGTTCTTAATTATGTCACTGCTTTTACTATCATAACATATATCTACCTAAAATTTTTTTAAACTATTATTAAAAGTAAAAAAATAATAATAAATTATAGGCAGTCATTCATATAGAAACAGATACAAGAAATCCTCGTTAATTTGAACTTGGATAGTTCGAAATTCCGTTAGTTCATAACTGATATTTTATCCCGGCCAGGAATACAGGGATTTAAATGTTAAGGAATTGAGTTAGTTCGAAATGTGGCTACTTCAAAATTCTGTCCAAACTGTGATAAGAGTATTAAGTGTCATTTAGATCAAAGTGCCACAAAACTGTAAGAACAATTGACCAAAAACAACTCTAATCTGGTCAATATGGCTTTACTTTTACAGTAACACATTTTTGGGTGTCACCTTACACATAGACTATCCTTTTATTTTCTTATTTCATAAAATACGGCTGTTTACGAAATGGCAATATTGGGCTACAAGTAGCAGATTGAGAATTTGTAGACTTTAGATTACTACATTTGGGCAACTTTAAGAATAATTTGGGCTAAATTTCGAGGAATTCTGTTTTACTTTATATAAAACCTATCTGGAAGCCTGTGAGATCACTGGATAAATCTATTTACCTGCAGTTTATTTATATTATTATTAATTAATGAAAATAGCATTTTGTATACGTAGCCATATTTCATTTCTTTAATAAATTACATCAGTTATATGATATTTACATATGCAGAAGATGTAAATCTCAGATGATTTGAAGTCGCAATTATTTCCTCCCTTGAATTTCGAATTAACAAGGATTTCCTGTACATAATTCTAAATATTCATTAATACATACATCTTCAATCATTAAAGTTATTAATAGTATATTTTTTATTTTGTATTTGTTTTAGGATAATATGGTGAATGAATTTAATAGTGATGCTGAACATCAGAGAAAAATCTATATTCCTCCAAAGATATCTAGAATAGTTCCTAAACAAACAGAACTCGAAAATCAGAGTCGTCAGAAAGAAAGTGATGTAAAGAACATAATAGAATCTCTTACAAATTGCCTCATTCTCAAAGATGAAATGAAGGATGATAAAAATAAGAAAAATATGTTTGTATCTGAGAATGTTGATGATGACGACGACGACACACTAGAAATGTTACTTTCGTTAACTGAAGAAAAGCATAATTCAAAGAAAGTAACACTTCCTTCCACTTCAGGTAAATATATTAATTTTTCTTTTTAAGCTCTTATAAATTGGCAAGTGGTGAGTGGCAGACCACTTGTGAAAAATTCCTGAGATGGCTTGCCTGAATTTGATTCTGGGTTCCCAGAGTGGTGGGCTGATGCCTTAACTTTCTTGGGCATAAGTCCACTTACTAAATTTAGTTTGTTGCTCATTCTACAACTATTGTTTACAATGTCATTTATGGAGTCATTTACAAGATTCAATGTGTCTATTCTGAAGCTTCACACATGCTGTATCATATTTCATATGGTTTTTTAAAAATGTAATTTCAAAACAGAAATTGAGGTTTTAAATCTTTTTAAATTGGGGAAAAAATCAAATATGATATTTAACTTATTTCATTTGTAATTCTAAAGCAAAGACTATTGACTAAAACAAAGTAGATACAGTATATTTTGATGTAAGTTTTAACATTTATACTAGTTATATATTTTAGATGCATGTTTGTAAGTCTTAAAGATAATTATATTTTAATCATTTTAATTACAGAAAGTACAAGTACAAATGTACAATTAGAAAACAAACCTGCAGATAAACCATTAGGTAAGTATTCAAATCAATAGAGTAGTTAATCTTATTTTAAATTTACTTAAATAAATCTTAAGTTTAATTGAGCATTTAAGTTCATTGAAGTTAATTGGAATTCTGCTCTTTCTAAATTCTCTTACTTGAGATATTCAGTCAGCTTTAAATATTATGAACCAAAAAAAAAAAAAAGATAAAAATGATAACTTTTAATACTTTTGCAATGGTTACAGATGATAGAAAATTTACGAAATCATTAAAATTATAATATACGGTGTCTTCCAAACAGAATGCTATCATTTTAAATTATTGTAATTATGTTAATTATTATCCGAGAATGTTGTAAAGTACATTAGAACATTGAAAAACAGTTTAAGTTTCACATTTGCCCATTACAATTTCTCAATGCATTAACCTTTTGTCATCACTCGGCATGTCCGACCGATACTCAAATTCTTCCCATGCTCGCTATGGTATATGTTGTTACCCGTCCTACAATTGCCATAATTCTATGGCTCCGGTAGATTTCTCCCGTCGCAGCGAGTCCGACTTTGCAAACTTCCGAACATTTGAATGCAGGTGGGAAACAAAATTTGGATGGTTATTTGGTCAATCAACGTACAGTACATTGCATACTTTTCAGATAATTATTATAATATAATTACATTAATTTAAAATGGTAGCATTTATTTTAAAGACAGATATTAAATGATAATGTTTAGAAATATATTTTTTATTTTCACTTATTTTATATTGATAGTTCTGTAATCAATTTTAAGATAAGTATTTTAGTTTGGTATATTTTATTTACAGAAAAATCAGATATGAGTTTGAATGACTGGTTGGACAGCATTGTAGAAGATTAAAATCAACTTATTGTTAATTCTGAATGATGTTTTATCTATTAAAAAAAAACAAAAATTGTATAGATAATATTTAATAAATTATTTACATTTCAGTTTTTCAGATCTAGTGTACACTTGTATATAAAATCTTAATTGTTCTTTATGTATACTCCCTGCGAAAAGACTTAAAAATTCATATTTTATGAATAGTTTTATTTAATAAAAATTTATAAACTTTACAATAACCTGTTCACTAATTTCTGTTAGCAGTTTTCATGTCAACATAGAACTTGAAACAAATGAAATGTGTGTCCAGGATTTTCGGAATTACACATTTACCAAAGTAATGAAAATTAATGCGTTATATTAAGCGATGGCAAGTGAAACAAAGATTAAAACTACTGATCGGTGATTTCTATTCTGTTTATTGTAAAGACAAATAGAAATCCTTAATATTTAGTGTAATTTGGGTAGAGGAAGAATTACTAATGTACTGTACATAAGTTTTGACGGTACGTGTTACTCGCATCACGAATGATTTGTTTTAAGGAGTGAACAAAATTACGAGAGTTTTAGTATTATAAAACAAAAAGTTCTCGCTTATAGACTACATCTATTAATATTTATGCTTTATCTCTTAATATCTTAGTAATATTTTTATTAGTTTAAATACGTAAAAAATTAAACATTTCAACACAGACATTCAAAATAATTTAAATTTCGAAAAATTCAGATTAGAATTTTAACTTTTGAATATTCGAATTGCGTTAATTTTGTACGTTTTAAGTTCTAAACGACGGTTTTCGTTATTTTGAAATAACTGAATTCTCGTTAACGGTAATTTTGATTTGTTTATTTTAAATATATAAATATATATATTCCTTAGACGATAAGATTACAATAATTACAATTGTAATACAGAAGAAAACTATTTTTTACTATACGGTAAGTGCTCATTGTTAATGAAAACGTATTAAAAATTTATGATGATTCAATTTTTGGGGGCTCAGGGCTTAAGCCCTATTAGTTCCTATGTAGATCCGTTCCTGCAGATAAAGATTTTTTTCAAATACAGTACTTCGTGTGTAATGACAAGCTTGGCAGGGGTGGCTCAGACGTCAGTTTTTCGGGCCTCGAACCAAGGCCTTGCATTCACGGGGGCCCGAACTGCTGCTGCTACATAAAAATTGATTAATACTTAAAATTTACATAGAACCTTTGAAGCGCTTATAGGTTACTGGCATTACACTCGTATAATTGTTATAATATTAAAGAATAATTCAAAACAGGTAATTTTTATACATTGCTATGTGCATTAACTGAAGAAAATTTGTTAATTAGGTTGTTTGTAAAGAGAAGGAATATGAGCACGAACGAAGACAATACTCAAGTAGATGCTGTTACTAATAACGAAGTACAGTCCGACTTAAATCCTAACGAATTGAATTTAGAAAAAGAATTAGAAGAAAGTGAAAAAACGAAAAAGGTAGAAAACGAGGAGACGAAACACGAGATAGGAGCATCTCCGAAAACCAAGAAAAGAAAGAAAAAGAATATCCATAACGTCGAAACGAGGGACTTTATAAACAGGAATTTGGTGTATATATACACTTCTTTCTTCTTTTCGTTTATTATACTATTAAGTATTCTATTGGTCTCGGGAGTACTCGATTTATTTTATGATTCCACTGAAGTATTTCAAGATTGCAAACGTTTACCCACCTCAGTTGCTCCCGAAAATTACGCTTTGGAAATGAAAGTTGATCTGGATGAGACTATTTTGGGTTTCAGTGGCACAGTCAATATCAGTATCTTGTGCATAGAAGCGACCGATGTGGTGGTTCTTAATTCCAACCGTTTAAAAATACACGATAAAAGCATTTCGTTGAAGGATAAAGATTCGAATACTTTCATCGAAATTCGAAGTGTTTACGAAAGAGACCAGTTTCTTAGTCTAGAACTCGGCAAGAAATTGAAGGTTGGAGGAAAATATCAAATTTATATCAAGTACGAAGGCATGTTAAGTAAAAGAGGACTAGGATTTTTTGCAGTTCCGTTACAAAGATCCGATGGTAATGTTCAGTTGTAAGTATTCTACGACTTTTCCATTTTCTAAATTAAAACGTATAGAGTTTAAATATATTTAAACGACGAAATAATTAGTTATCATTAGACCTAATTGCATTATTACACAGAAGTTAGTTAATCCCAGATAATTCGGAATTATCCGATAATACTCCGGTATGAAACTATTGAATACTAATACAGTCGCCCTCTTATAACACTGTTGATTATTCCGTTCTATACGAATTCCATGTTGTACGAGTCACTTAGATTTTACAAATACGTATGCCGGGCTGTGAACGGCTCACGTATTTGTAAAATCTAAGTGACTCGTACAACATGGAATTCATATAAAACGGAATTATCAACAGTGTTATAGGGGAGGTCGACTGTAGTTGGTAGTGGGTTCGCACCTCGTCAACGGGCTGGCCACATGGAATTTTCTGGGTTTTCTTTACGTCAGTAACACCTAAATAGTGGGCAGTTTCCTGTAGAAAGTCCTTCCGGGAGGCATCACCATCCGACACATGCTCATGTGTCACATTGTCTTATACGTACAAACAAACAATAGGCTGGCATTCCAGTATTCCGCGAATTGAAATGTATTTAGACAGATGGCACGATAAAGACTCTGGGAGGAAATACAATATATGCACATATTGTAAATTTTGATTTTGTGCAATGCGTTTATCAACTCTTTTTAAGTGTCTTCAATCAATAAGACACTGAAAAACACAGTAAAGTCGTGTACTGTAGGCCTGTCTTCTTCAGACTGATGAAAAACTCATAAATAGATCAGAATTGTATAACAGCGTGTACTGAGTACAAAATGTACAGTAGTGCCTATAATATTCGGATCGCACATAAATATCGAATTTTAGAAAATACAGTCCAGCATTTTGTTTATTTTATTAAATATTATATGATTATAGTATTGCTTCTACTATATTCGAACCGGATGCTGCGAGAACCGCTTTTCCGTGCTTCGATGAACCGGAATTCAAAGCTACTTTTGACATCACGCTAGTGAGAAAAAAGGACTTGATGTCTCTGTCGAATATGCCCAAGTTGAAGACAGAGCCCAGGTAAGTAAAGTGTTTAAATATGCGATTAAAAATAATTTTTAGTATATATTGATATAGGCCTGTGTGAATATCAGACATGTTATAGAAACTTTTATTTTTTTAAGAAGTTTATGGGCTTTTATATTATTTTAAGATATTCCCCCACCATTTCTTGAAAGAGAATACTGAAGAAAATAACGAAGGGTGCTTAATTTTTGCGTATGTCCTCGCATTTTTAGAGGCATCAGGCATGCAGAAATATATACTTGACATTCAGTTTTGGTTCAGTACCAACTAGGACTCTTTAATATCGAATATTATGTGATACGAGCTTAACATTATACATGTGTATGTCCTTGTGTCAAACTGTATTGCTTACGCAATGAGCCATCACGCTATACTCTAATCATTTTCATCTCTGATGCTTCAATCTTGAGTTATTGTTCCGCATTTACACTGTTTCCATTATTGATAGAAGCCGTATCGAATGACGGCACAGCAGCGCATTCAGAAAATTTTGCACCCTTTCATGGAAGGAATGCAAACAGCCATTTTTCGGCAAGATAATGTTTGGTCGCGTTATTCAGAAATATCTGTTACATTGGCACACTTCTTTGGTCAATTCCAGTTTCCAGATTTCTCACCCACCGAGCATTTGTGGGACCACATATTACCATGATCACTACGTTTGCACTAATCACGTTTCATTCTTAGTGAATAACTTTTTTGTCAATGAACGTATGAAGTGAAGTAATATTTTACTTCATTTAATTATATAAATAATTAATTTTTTTAATAGAAGTAGTAATTGGGAGGCCGATATCTTCGTGAAATCCATGAAAATGTCAACATACTTGGTAGCATTTTTTGTTGGAGATGCAATCGGAAAATCTCAAGGAAATGTAAGAGAATAAATTCTTATTTTTATAAGTCAAATTAAAAACATTTATCTAGATTTAGTCTTTAATAAAAATCGTATTAGGCTGGTAAAATTCTGACATAAACCCGGCACAGTGTTTACTGTTTTAATTACGTTTCAATTGTTGGGAGTTCAATTTTTTGAAAGTTTGATGTGGATAGTAATTAAATTATATATAAAACAAACTGTTACTTTCTTAAGGCAGTTTTCTTTCTAGATAACTGTTTGGGAAGTTCGAAATAAATCAGCTTTGGGTAACAATCACGAGTATGTCCTGGCCATATCCAAGGAAATTCTATGGAATCTACAGAATAAACTAGGAGTAAAATATCAGTCACCTAAGATTGGTAAGAAAAACAACTAATAAAAAAATATTATGGAAATGATTAATTAACACGGAAAAAAAGACCTTCGTGGTTTCTATATAGAATTGTCCATTCGATACTTTTATAAGAAATGAATAATTTCTCTTTTCTGAATATACGGACTTTTACAGATATTCTAAGTATGCCCGAAATAATATATTCCGGTATGGAAAACTGGGGACTAATTTCAATTAAAGATTATTACTTTCTTACTCCATTGTCGAAGGACCAGAAATCAGAAGATATCTACTCTGTCGTGGTGCACGAATTGGCTCACGAGGTAACATTTCTGATTAAAATATACCATTAAAAATTATATTTTTAAATATAATAAACAGTAGCGATTATTGGAAATAAAATAATATTAATCAATATAAAATACTGTAAATTATATTTTCAAAGCATTGGAAAATCTTATCGGCAACGAAGTGATTCGAACTCAGATTTGTTATTTATTTTAATTGCTGAAGATGGTCATGATGAAGATAAAGATGAAGATCTTAGTCTTCTTAGTAAAGGATTGCACTCGATGGTTTACTTTTATTGAGCTTTCCATACTTCACCAGAGCCATGTTTAGTAATTTTCGGATTATTGAGAATTCTTCAAATTCTTAAATTCTTTGAATTATTTTAAAGTTTTTAAATATAATTGTAAATATTTAAAGAAAGCTATAACGATGTAACAGCAAATTTGACTTGCAGTGGCTTTTAAGCAAGCTTCTCATGGTCTAAGGTAGTCATATAATGGTGCAAATTTATGAATTGCCCCAATAGATCTTTCCAAATGTGTTGTAAGATTTTCTTTGTCCATGATACAAAAAATAATTTTTCTCACTTTTCTCAGTATTTTTTCTTCTGGCATTTTGTAAAATCTTAAATCATAATGATACAATTATTATAGGGAGGGGTAAATTATATACAATTTAATTATATGATGTAATACACACACTGTATGCAAAAATTATTTTACAGGGTACTTCACACTTTAGGGGTGCCGCAAGATATGGTGCTGAGCAGCACCATAACATTTCTTACGTGAATTACTAAAAGTACAAGAAATGATACTAATTTACACTAATAAAAAAAAATTAGAGGTGCCATAAACAGTTTCAAGTTGGGAAGAGTGTTGAAAAAAACAATATCTAAATCACTTTTTAATATTTTGGAATATTTGATATACATTCCTACGTTGATTTCTCTTTGCAGTGGTTCGGAAATTTAGTAACTATGAAATGGTGGGACGATGTCTGGCTAAACGAAGGTACTTCATATTACTTAGAACTCTTGTTAAGGCGAGAATCTTTTCCCGATCAGGTAAGATTCCGAAATGATGAGTTAGATAATAAAAATTCTCAATTTGAATTTACTTTCACGCCTATATATGACTTGAATAGCAAGAGTCAAAAAATTATAGAGTATGCAATAATAAACAGTTATATAAAAATCGCAATTATTTGTCCAGAAATTCTTATTTGAATATTCAAATTTTAAGAAAATTATGAATAATTTCAGGAAGTCGACGAACTTATTAAAATTGGAGAAGAAAATCGTCCCATAGATTGTTCTTCTAGCTTAATTTTAACCATGTTGCCACCTAATTGCGACTTAATGAAACATTTTACAAGATATATTTACACAAAGGTGTTTATATTTTTATTACTTCCATCGAAATTTAAAGGTTCTCGAATTTTCATTCAGAAATTCCTTCATTCAGAAATCCATTATACAATGATTTATATAGCATTTGTGGGACCACATATTACCATGATCACTACGTTTGCACTAATCACGTTTCATTCTTAGTGAATAACTTTTTTGTCAATGAACGTATGAAGTGAAGTAATATTTTACTTCATTTAATTATATAAATAATTAATTTTTTTAATAGAAGTAGTAATTGGGAGGCCGATATCTTCGTGAAATCCTTGAAAATNGGTACAATTGTTATCAGAATGCTTCATCAAATTCTTGGAGATGAAGATTTCTGGTTTGGAATGAAAGCAAGTATTTTTATCATTTAACTATATAACCAAATATTTTTCGGGGGGTGGTTCGTCCGTATATGTCCCTCACTACCCGGCCGCCCCATTGTGGGCCTGGTCGAACCCATATGGACTTGCTAAAAGAGGTCATCTTAGTGCCCACAGGGCGGAAACAGTTTAAAAAAAACTATATTTAAATAAAATAATATGCTGTAATTAGAGTAAATATAAAGAAGCTGATTGAAGAAAAGGATGATTGAAAAAGACAGATGATAAACCGAAATCGTATAATACATTACGTGACAGATGATTTCTCTGGCGAACCACTTTGGGCATGAGTGCCACAGGTATCACCACAGGTCTAGGTTGTGTAGGCCTAAAGTAGCCATTGGATTACACTATAACGTTAAGTATACAAGTACAGTATATTTACCAAACACGTTACGTTCACTTACTCTCGGAAATACAGCGGGAGCCTAGCTAAAAACATGTTTACATGTTGCTTCAACATTTCTGAATGCCTTCTAATGGAACATACGTATATAAGCAATTACAGTATTGACAAGTAAGGTCATGTAACCTCCGAAATCTGGTCGATAATCACTTCTTGCCGTGTCTCTTCGAGATGCCATATAGACTGGGTAAAGATGTTCCATAAGATTAAAAATAGATCCTTACAGCCCTTCCTTACAATAACGCTCTCTTATGCAGAATGCTGCTCTAAAAATTCAGCTGGCATGGCTCTCGTTTAAACGAACTGCTCCTTCATCCGATGCTCTGTAAAGTAAACTCGATTGTATTACAGAAGCATTTTTATTAATAATCATTATTGCCAACAATGACGCTACATGTAAAGGCATGTAACCAGGAGCGAATCTACATAGGGACTAATAGGGTTTAAGCCCTGGGTCCCCAAGTGTCAAGAGCCCACAAAAATTTGAATTATCATCATAAATTTTTAATACATTTTCATTAAGAATGAACACTTATCGTATCGTAAAAAATAGTTAATATTAATAAAATAATAATAATGATAATTTATAGTATTGTTTGTATTAACAAAAAAATGGGGGTTCCATTGAACTCCAATAAACCCTAGACCCCGAAAAACCTGCATGTAAGCTATATACTACTATAAAAGAAACAGAAATTTCGTTCACAAATTACCGAAAATACTATTTTTATCTTTCAGTTATATTTAGAAAAATATTCTTTCGGTTCAGCAAACGAACTTGATTTTTGGAATTCTTTTACGGTAAATTTTTATCGATGTTTTTCTTTATAAATTTTACAGTTGAATTAATTGTAAACAAAATAAATAATTTATAAATTACTTTTTATGGATTCCAGTCTGAAACATTACGCAAAGATAAAATAAACATAGCAGAAGTAATGTCGACGTGGACCCATAATGGCGGCACACCTATCGTTACAGTCAAAAGAAATTACTTCCTTCGAAACGCATTCCTAAGACAAGAATCTTGTAGAAGTAAATTCAGCGATTTATACCAAGAGTAATTTACTTTTATTAACATTTATACAGTTATATAATCAACCCTAAACTAAATAAGTCCTTCACATTCCACTCTGAATACGACTCTGTTTCTTCATATAGCTTTCATGTAATGAAGATTAATAATGAAATTATTATAAAATAATTTAAGATAAATTAAATTTGCAGTTAGAATTCGAATTGCCAATTAAATAGTTAAATTAATTTCATAAAATTAAAATTTCCACAATAAAACAAAGCTTTTAAAGCAACATGCGTAAGACTTAGGCTTGAAAGAGTAATGTAAATTTCTTGGATGTTAATGGGTTATGTAATTAATTTAAAAATGTAAAAAATAATTTGATATATAAATTTATTTTTCAGCGATATTTGGTATATTCCAATTACTTATAAAAGTATTTCAAGTAAAAATAAGAAGAATTCAACAGTAGACTTCTGGCTTAAAAATAGAGAAAGTAAATTATTCGGTTAATAAATATCGTTTATTTGAATAAAAATATAAAGTTACTAATTAATGTAAACCTTTATTAAATTCCTTAGAATTGATATATAATATGCCCAGAATGAACGAATGGATTCTTGTTAATGGACAGAGTTTAGGAGATTACATTGTAAACTACGATTCAGTAAATATGAAACTGTTAACAAAACAACTTCTGGATAATAATAGTGTTTGTATTGTGATGAAAACTATTGATTTTTGATAATTTTAATATAATTATTTACAATTTTAACAAGGCTTTCTTCAGGTATTTACTGTGGAAGAAAGGCACAAAATCTTCATGGATTTAACATATCTTGAGAGGTTAGAAATTGTAATTTTAATATTTTAAATTAGTGTAAAAAAATAAGTTTTTTAGTGACTAAAAACATTTATATACAAAGACATTTATTACAGTAGACCCCCCCTATAACACTGTTGATAATTCCGTGTTATATGAATTCCATGTTGTACGAGTCACTTAGATTTTACAAATACGTGTGCCGGACTGTGAACGGCTCACGTATTTGTAAATCTAAATGACTCGTACAATATGGAATTCATATAACACGGAATTATCAACAGTGTTATAAGTGGGTCTACTGTATAGCTTCATGGGGCCCAGTTAAATTTGAATTAGGGGGCCCTATGTACTGTACAGTGTCGACTTCAGACATTTTTCTTCGACGGAAGGTTCTTGGGTAAATATTTTCTTAAAAACGATTGGTTTGGGGCCCCTGTTGGTGAGTGCCATAGTAATTGCCCTTTTTGCCATAGGATAACGCACCAATGAAGCCAGTTTTATATTCTCGGTAAGCGAGGAGTTACGAAGCCTTTCTTAAATGAGTGAAATTTAAATAATAAATATTCAATAGTATGAAACCCTATTTCAGTAGGGTTCTAAAATTTCTAAAAGTTTTGACTTCTGCAAACAGGTTTGATGTTCTAAAAGCCTTAATAATTCTTTCCTCAGTTCAGGCATTAGAAATATAAAATCTCTACTCGATTTGTACATGTATCTTCCTAAAGAGAGCTCCAAGGAAATTGTATATTTTGCCATTAAATCACCTCACATAGCGAGCATCGAATATCTTACAAATTTAATGGAAGGAGATCATTCGGAACACGACTGGAATGTATGATTTTATTATGTATCTAAACAGTTTCGTATGATTTTATTATAGAAAACTAATTTATAAAATGAAATTTTTCTGTTTTTATAGGAATTTGTCATGTATTTGATGAAACCAATTTTCAGAAGAGAACGTTTGAAATTCAAAAGAAATGTTGCCAATTGCAAACCGGGGTAGGAATTTTTTAAAAAAATTCTTTGATTCATTAAATCTTAATTTGTAAATTTAAAGGTAAACTATTTTCTTAATCCATTGAATATATTGCATAGATGCGTATTGAATATACATCATAGAGAAATTATAGTTTCTATTTAAATTATTGTGGATTACTGTTTTCAATGTGGTAATTTTGACACCCACGTATTAAAATATGGTGAAGAATCATATGCATTTAACGTGGTGTGGAAGTATGATAATAAAAAAAAATGAAGGATAAATCTATTCATTGCATTAAATAATGTAACTTAAAATCTTGACAAAAACTGCAAAATATAAAGTACACTGCCAACAATTGCTTAGAGGATTGATGCAACATGATACACCTAACAAAATTAATATGTTTATTCGATATATATTTTACGCTGATTGAAATATTCCTCCTTAAAATATAGGATAACAGGCTATTAAAATTCGAATCGAAATCTAGAAAATCTCGAGTTTTGTACAAATTTTATAAATTTAAATAAGAAAAACCTTCTTGGATAAATAAAAAAAATATGCTTAATTTCTCATAATTAAAACAGGTATAAATAATTTTATATTTTGGAAAAAGAACTAAAATGAATATTTTTCTCTTTTAGTTCCGTATGTTCGTACAACTTCGAAGCTCTTTGCTCCATTGGAAAAGGATTTTGCATTCGGGAAGCGATTCTAAATTATAAAATGTCGGATGATTTCGTAAAGTATGAATTTAGGAATAAATAAATATCTAATAAATAATTCTGGTTTATAAATTAATTTGCAATTATAATAAATACAACTAATCCGATAGTTATTTCAAACACGAAACGAACAGCATAATTCTTTATCGGATTAAATGGTTAAATGAGTGTTGCCAATCTGAAAACCAATAAGGACAGACTTTTCTCACTAAATTTCTCCCTAAATTTCCCTCATTCTGCTGAAATTTAGGGGGGAACCTCTAGGTTGGCATCACTAGGCTGAATAATTACTAAGCAATTTGTCAGAAACCAAGCCTCCAGTCAGCCATATCTTGATAAATAATTACTTTTTGTATAAATTATAGAGATACGCTTCGTTCGACCCTTCTGTGTTTCAATATTTCTACAAGAAAAACGGAAAATTTCCATTCAGAAATAAGAATAATGAACAATGTGGATGTATTGAGATGTAGCAACGACAATAGCGAAATTCAAAGGTATTGTTTTTAAAACGAAGTCATTTTAGAATATTTTAAAGAGTCCATAAATCTGTATATAAAGTATATAAATTAACTTAAAAAAGGATGTATATTTTTACAGCATACTAAAAAATCTCTTGGAGGAGGAAAACGCAAACGAATTTTTGGATAATATCAAAAATATTTTGCGTAACAGAAAAAATTGGAAAGAATTTATATCTTTCTTAGATAATTATTTTGAAGAATTTAGTAAAAAGTAAGTTAATAAAGTAAAACCTGTCTAAAACGGAGCGCTAGAGAATTTTCTGTTTTTGATAACCTTCCGTTTTATACAGGTTAAGTCCAGATTTACAATTTATAATAGCATTATATATAAAAGAATTATTCCATTTAGAGCTTTATTTTCCGTTTAGTAGACGTTCCGTTTTAGACAGGTTATAGTGTATTTAATTTTTATATTATTTTATTAATTTCTTTTAGTTTTAATTACAGTGAAGCAATATTTCATTTATTAGTAAAGAGCATATATGAAATTCCTAAAAATCCAATTAAGTATTTAGAGGTAAGAACAATGAAAATTCAAAGAATATATATATACATTTTTAACGTTAATATAATCTAATATAACCACAATATTCATTACGAATATATATAAACAGTGTAATTTTAAAATATGTCAATGTTTTCCCTCGTTTATACTGGTCGATTCCATTGCGGTTAGCCATCTTGTAATGGGTGTTTATTCAGTACAGGAGGGCTGACCCGCAATGGGGTATATCAGTGAGAATGAAGGATGAGAACCCTCTTTTTAAATTATTTAAGTATTGTAGTATTTTAATTAAAAAAGTGTAAGGAAAGCGTTGTTCTTATGGCATTTTTTAATTTTTTTTTCCATTTCTATGTTCTTACTTTCATGTTTTTGATAATATTTTATGTACTTTATCGATAGATTCGGAAGGTTTTATCGAATCGTGTGAACACATTACCAAAAATGAAAGCGGAAAATATTCGTTTACTAATTGAATTTCTGAAAGACGATTCAAAGATGAAAAAGCAAATAAGAAACGTAAGAAAATGGTTGATTTCTAAGCCTTGGACTAAAGATTTCCGAGTCGATTATAGATTCGTTGGTGATAACGAAGATTAGAGTATGCATAAGATTAAATAAACAAAACATGTAACGTTTTTACTCACAGTTTATCTTAAATATTTCTGCTGTATCTATTTTTAATATAAATTCAATAAATTTTATGAATGTAAAGTCTCTTGAAGTGTTTTAATGGGGAAATTTCTTGGTGTAGTCTATTTTTAAATCATACCGAAGCGTGTTCTATCTTCTTTCGTTCGTTGTCTCTAAGCCCATTATGAATTCGGCCAGGCCCACATGGGGCGGCCGGCGGTGAGGGACGGTGCCCGACATATTCGAACGGTCCATTCCCCGGTTTTTCGACCCGTCCGGATTCAAACATGGGTACACCAGAGTAGTAGGCTGCCACCTTGACCGCTCGACCAACCGGCCTCCTTCGAAATACATTAGAAATGAAAAAAAAATTTAGCAAATACATAATAAGTCTGCATAAAACACGAATTTCAGCAGCACCTCCACTTTTAACTTGTTTTAAGTCCTACCCCTGTCGAAGCCCACCAGTGGCCAAGCGGTCTTCGTACCCTGAACACTGAAAGTTCGCGCCTCTCTCGGACGGGCTGGCCACGTGGAGGTTTCCAGGTTTTCTCCACGTCTTTAACGCCTAAATAGGACCAGTATCCCCTAAAAAGACCTCCCGAAAAGCATCGATTTTAAATAAAAAATGCTAAATAACTGGATGTTAGTGAAGAACCTTCTTTTAAAAGGATCTGGACTTCAAATACTAACCGGATCCTCAAAAATATTTATGAAGTTTGATGACCTGTATATGTTGGACCCTTCCCTCGTTACACAGTCGTTCCCGTTGTGGGGCTGAATACTCCCATGATGGATATGAAAAGAAAGGGATCATCTTAATGCCAGAAGGCAGATAATTATGTACAAAATTATAAATGCTCTAAACAAACAGCTTTGAGAAAACTGGTCTCGAGGATATTTAGGAAATTCGAATTATTCGAATTTAAATTTTATTTCGAAGAATCGTTTCAGCGTAAATAGGCGCTTTTCTTATTTACTCTTTACGTTCGAAGGATGAATTATACATATTTCCCTGCCAAACCGACCAGTTCCCTCTATCTTCAACGAAGGTACCAAATTAAGCAGCACGAGGAGCATTTGGAGAGGATAAGAAACGGTTGATTAACATTAATTATATTTAACTATTAAATATTTTAATTATAACAAATTCTAAATTTCGTATAATATAATTTTGGTTTAGTTTTTTATCTTGCCAGAGGGATTTTATAATTAAATTTCGCGTTTTCTTTGCAGCAAAGTCTGTAGTGGATAACAAGCCACCTGCCACTTTCTGGCACACGCGTTTAAATTTGAAAAAACTGCAGGTAATTATAGTAATTACTTTAACACGATTAAAAACTAATAGTAGAAAATTTTCCTATGGATAAATGATTAATTATTATTTTCATGTTGATGTCTAATTATAATCAGTCAAATATTTTCGACTCTCGGGACCTTCGCAGATCCTAGGCAAAATAATATTTACGGGCCCCTTTAAAAATTTTGTAATAGATTCGGCAGAAATATTATTCAAAGAATCGTAATCTAATTTCTATGCTAACTCGGATTCCATATTTAGTATCGATAGAACAGATAATTTATCTTCTTTTATCGAATTTCTCAAATAATTTTTAACTCTTTTCGATGTAGAGAAACATCTTCCACCGCTAACATTACTTATTGGCATCGTAAGACATATTCTTAGAAGAATTTGCATATTAGAAAAGGTTAATATTATATTATTATGTATACTAATATTATAAAGAGGTAATGTTTGTATGTAAGTTTCGTTGCAGCAGGTAATCTCCGAAACTACTCATCCGATTTCAAAAATTCTTTCACCAATATTTAAAATGGAACCTCAGGGTGGACATAGGCTATACAGTAGAACCTCGCAAACTCGGCCTAATGTGGACCGAAGGATGGCCGAGTTTGTGAAAATGCCGGGTTATCGGGAATGGGGTTAAAAAAATAAGTACGAGTGTTTCCTCAGAAAATACTGTACTGTACTTGTATGTATTGTTTACTTGAGAATACAACAGAGAATAAACTGCACAAATACCCTTAAACAAAGGAAAAGTACGTCCTTTATGAAGGCATAGAGCCTTTACTACATGAAAATGAAAATTAATGAATACACTGTGTACAGTAATTTACCTGATAAGACAGACCTCA